GAAAAAAATAGACAAAAAAATAGACAAAAGAAGAAGAAAGAAAGAAACAAAACTGTGAAAGACTTCCACAGGCCATATTTGTTATACTGCAGCTAAACACATTTAAACACTCGAGATTTATGGAAAAATCCTTGTGGTCTTTAAGTTTCCTTAGTTGGCCAACGCCATATGAAGCAAAGGAGGAAACTGAGTCCAGATGGGGGGGCAGTGAAGGGGCTTAACTAGAGGCCGTACCAGAGCACGTGGACCAAGGGGCAAACATGTTACAAACTTATAGATGGCTAAACTTATAGATTTAATCGCACTTATCGGTTAACACAGGAAGACTTGTCATATTAAACCATTTTACTTCCTCTGAAAGACTTTATGAGCACAAATATGCACAGTAAAGACAGCTAAACTGCTAGCCATCATTATTTATGTGTTGCTGACATAATACCACACCTCCTCTGGATCTACATCACTCCTCTTAAAATGGGTGTTAATCATTGTGTCAGCCCACTGTATACAAAACACTTCTCATCCACTTTCACGAGCAGCAAAGACTGTGTTGCTCACAGGGACGAGAAGGACATGCCCCACTTGAGTTACAGATGAAGAAAAGAAAATCTCTGCAGCATAAGGAGTTTGCCTGAGGAGCAGCCTGACATGAAGTGTTTCACAGGCTTGAGCCTGTGGATATCAGGCTTCAGATGAGGGTGGAGCTGGGATTAAGTTGTTTTTTTATTGTACTGAATCAGCAAGACAAGTTTTTGCTGATAATGAAAGTTGTTATGGGAACATTTGAGTGTTTAAAGGCCACAAAAGAAGGGCAGACATAACTGTGATCATAAAACGTAATGAACCATTACCGCAAACGAAAGCCGAGTAGAATATCACAATTTGGCAAAAAATATTAAAATAAAAGAACAGACAAAGAACTGATGTTGCTACCAATGGCTACCAAGACATTGTACAGACCACATTATTTTCTTTTTCTTTTTTTTGCACTAGTGCAAAACAGCAGAAAATATATTTTTTTAAAAAGGTGTGTGGATGCAATGAGAGTATAAATAAACAGAGGGCTCTAAAACTTCAGTGTCCAGGTATTTAAAATAAATCATAAATCAGAAGTTATCCATAGTGTGCATAGTAAACCACATTAGATATTGCAGTTTTGGGTTTATCTATGTATACTGAAGCTTCCTGTCGTGTTAACAAATGTCTTTAATGTCCAAATACTAAGCGAAACTTAACACTTAAACAGAACTTGTCTTATCCTGCTGCTTCACCTAATGGACTTTCACCCCAACAGAAACTGTGACCTACTTGTGTTGCCTCATCAGAAAACGAGAAAGGGGATATGCTTACATTTCTAGTTTGGTTCCCAACATTTCACGTGGTCTTCAGTTAATAACTTTGTAATTCATTTTGCTAAAAACAATTAAGTAAAATCCTCTATTGTCTATTTTGGGCCATACAAATATATCTCTAAATGTTACTGAATAACTACTTTGAAGGTTAACATACAATGATTTAATAGACAATATATAAATGAATGTAAGGCCATTCTATATTCATATCAGTATTAAATGAAAGGGGGGAATGCAAAACATGACATACAAATTCATATTTAAACTTTACACTAAAGATCAAAGTCCCTCTACAAGAGGTTTACATGATAGCTTTATTGCATCTATAGTCCAAGAAATGAGACCTTTACACTTGTTTCTCAGGTAGGTCTTTGAAATTTAAAAATGTTTGCTGCAACCAAGACCAGAACCATGTGAGCACGTTTTTGTTGTCCTTTTAGTTTCTTCATATAAACTTCTGTCTAATAGCCTTGATAAAGACGTACAGATATGTAAGATCATGGTGTTGAACTGGACCTCTTATCTCATTTAAACTTAAACAATGCCCAATATTTACTTTCTTGAATGGTAGAATTTTGTCCAGGTTTCTACACATACGAGGAGGATTGTAAAAACCAGTTGTACTGACAGTTGCAATATAACTATTTTTGAGAATATGCGCAAACTGCTAAACTTGAGAAAGGCCACAAAGCATTTTTAAAAATAAATCAATGAATAAAAATTGTCATTGAGCAGTTGATTCAAACATTGTTTTAGAGACACACCTTGACAACCGTGTCCTTAATAACTCGTGACTCGGCTGCTCCTGTCCCGGTGAGAACAGGCCAGTCAGAAAGAAGGTGCAATGATGGACAAAATATGATATCTCAGTTTTTAAATTGAAATAAATTTGACTTTGAAGATACAACGTACATCAAAGGGTCTACTATGCTTATCAGAAGAAGTTGAATGCAGGGTTTTCCGGGTTGCTTGTCTCTGTGCGGCACTCTGACGGATTGCCGAAACATCCAGGGTGAACCTGCCTATCTCCCAATGACAGCTGGCACAGGCTCCCACCACAAACCTGACTTGGAGACGGGTAAAACGAATAGATGAAGAATAAGGATGAAGTCCATTTGTCAGTATATGCTATTTCATATTTGATTGACTTATGCATAGATGAAACCCTATTAATCAAGGAAAGATAAATTATTATCCTTATGTCCACTGACAATGAGAAAGTTATTTTTTATGTAGCAGAAACCTGCATATTGGATCATTTTGAGGAAAAAAAACAGGAATCAAACTTATATAGAGTTGGAGAAAACAAAAACAGAAAGAATTCAAAATATCCTTTGTCTGCACATTGATCAGTAATGGACTGCCCTAAGATGCAGAATACAAGTAATGTTTTATTTATGTGGAACAAAAGATGGAGGCAGCTTGATGAATATGAGTTTAATAAATTTGTGGATGGTCGGCTAGTTAACTACTCTTTCCGCGTGTATGACCCACCCTGAAGTTATGACAAGTTATGACGTGGGACGAGAGCCTTTGAAGACTGTTGGTGGTTATGTTGAAAAAACAACCATAAACTAAAAATGTTGGCAAACCGGATTACCCTCCTTAAGTTAATGTCTCCATCATCTCCAAAGAAATTACAATAAATGAATCTTTGATTAAATGTTTGTGCTGCCAGTAGTAGAAGTAGAAAAAGCAACCCATTACATCAGAACACTAAAGCAAAACAGATCATAGTTATTTAAATGTGTTCAATGGGCAGGAAGTGATAAGTCACTGTCAAAAGTGTTGGTTCAAGAGGGTTAAGATCGCAAAAAAAAAGGCATAAAGTAATATAAACGCGTTCCCAGTTGATTTAACATTTGATGAACAGACCATGAATCTAATCCATTAATCTTAAGTGAAAGTTCAGTAAGGAAGGCCTTTTTACTTTCCAATTGTGACCACCTTCCTGAAAAAGAAATGCCATTCTGTAACTCTCCCTTTCAGACCTTATGTCTAAGCCTCCTCCTCATCTGGGCTCCTCCAGGAGCACAAATTCAAATTCAAACAAACCAACATGTTTCACACACTGGGAGGATTTTTTTTTCAGACGATGTCGGAAGATAACTTTTTCCCTGCGTGTATAACTGTTACCATATGGTGAAAAGTAGTGTTCATTCATTAGAAGTAGTTTTCTGGAAGGGAGGAGATTGTTACTCTGGGAACATTTCCAAATGGAGTGTTATCTTGAGAGTGGATGAAAAAAAAAAACAACTATACAGGTCATTAAAGGTTTTCAGCGCCCTGTATATTCAGTTTGAAAAGGAAAAAAAGCTAACTGCGGCACCCCAGAGCCAGATAGGCACCCTAATCGAATCTCCAGAGGTCTTTGTGCTCTGTGCAATGCTCCAGTTTTCCTTTGACATAAAAAAACAAAACATGCCTGTCAAGTCATTTACTGCTTCCTGAAATGACTCAAGGAATCAGCACGAGCTGACATGGTGTTTGTCTCCATGGTGTCTCTGTGATGGACTCTCTTCTTTAGATCATATTTTAAAGAGATAAGTGACGAGTTTCCGGTGTTAAATGTCAACCCTGAATACAGACACAAAATAATTATTTAAAGTGCTCTAACACTTGTAAACGGCTGCTTGTTTCACCTTTGAGAAAATCTTAGAGCAGCAGTGTGTGGACCTCTGTGGGTGGTGGACGGATCAAACCTATCTCTATGTTTCTGCATTTAGCAGAAGCTTTTATCCAAAGCGACTTACAAAGTAGACACACTGTTACAGTTATCATAATATCTATTGAGCAAAATCCCTAGTCAGAATCAGTGGGGAAAGTAAACAGAGATAGAGGGAAGTGCAGAAAGAGTAGTAGAGGGGGGTATAGAGGTATGGGTAAGAGTTAGGATGGGAGATGCTCTTTAAAGAGATCGGTCTTTAAGAGTTTCCTGAAGACAGAATGTGTGTGTTGAGTTTGTGTCATTATATATATTACAAAATGTATCCTCTAATGACAAATACCTATTTCAGATACTACGTGCTGCTTCTAGAAACGCTGTAACAAGGAAGTGACTAAAACTAGAAAGACCCACAGTGGATGAATAGTTTGACATCATTAACAACATTCTTTAAGATGGAAATAATTACTTTTGTGTGTGTGTGTGTGTGTGTGTGTGTGTGTGTGTGTGTGTTTGTGATAGAGGGAGAACCATTCATCCCTATCTCTATATCCTGTGGAATTAGATAAGTCTCTAATGAAAATACAGTTGGAGATGACTGGCGTATTGTTTAATAATGAAAATAACAAAAAAAAACTGAATTGGAAAAAAAAAGAATGTGTGAGTTAGCTGTGTTTACAGTGGGGGAAATAAGTATTTGACCCCTGGCTGATTTTGCAGGTTTGCCCACTTACAAAGAATGCAACGATCTATAACTTTAATCATATGTACATTCTAACAGTGAAAGACAGAATCCAAAAGAAAATTCCAGAAAATCACATCATATGAATTTGGGCAAACCTGCAAAAGCAGCAAGGGGTCAAATACTTATTCCACCCACTGTATGTGGCTTCCTGATGCTTCAGGTCATTGGAAATAACATGTACACGTACACTTGGCATGCTTTTAGCTAGTGCGTGGCTCTTTCTGTCCACGAGAGGGGGCTGAGTGTTTCCTTCCCCAGCCGGAGGAGCTGGTAGATAAGTTACTATCAGCTTTGAGAAACCGTAGGGGGACAGCCGCACACAAACCGTGTCGCCTTAGCCCACATATCTCATGAAGCCTCGGCTTTAGCGCCGTTTCGACATGAACGAGTCGGACACGGAAGCTATCCTGCCCGGAGACCTCCTCGGCGCCGAGCCAACGGACGACCGAGGCCCCGAAGCCTCCGACCAGAAGGAGGCGGAGACGGAGGTCCCGAGCCGAGGCGCTTCTTTCCCGGTGTCCGTGGAGCCGGTGCTCTTCCTCTCCATGTTTTCCATCGCGCTCCAGGCTCCCCTGGCCACCCAGTACCTGTGGGACCGCGTCAGCGAGGACCTCGGCTACAACGGCTCCAGGGGGTCCGAGTGCGGCAACGGCTCGGTGCCCCCCGACCCCCTGCAGAAGGTAGCCCGGGCCGAACGCCGCCTTCACGGAGGCTCCGGGTCCTTGAACGCCTCACGGCTTCTGCTCCGTCCGCCTGAAATGGTTCCGAGAACTGAGCCCACCGCTTGGGTTATCTAAAGTTCATAGTTATGGTGTCACACACTGCAACAAAAAATAAATAAATCACAGTAATCGGTTTAGCTGAAGAGACTGTAACAGAAAATGCTGCCCCAGAACCTCCAAAGAATATATTTTATGAGCATTCAGTATGCATAAATGACATGAGTGAATTCACAAGGCCAGGCAAAGAACAGCTCAAACATTAACAGAAATGATGAATCCAGGTTTAATTTTTTTTTACATGCAGTGTTTTTTTCTAGATGTAGTACAAAGGTAACTGTCCAACAAAGAGGAACGAAAGTCACAAGTTGAAACTAAGTGTGAGGTCTATGATTAGCATTCACAATGTAAACCAGCAGTGGGGTTTTTTTTTCACACGTTTGACAAGTTGTGTGCATCACATCAGACACAGTTTCCAGCAGAATGACCCCCAGTCAGCTCATTCCTTTTTGGCAATGATCATTCCACCAGTTGACTGCTGACTCTGGTGTTCCTCAGGAGGTGCAAACGTTGACAGCCCACTGGAACCTGTACCTCAGCCTGGGGGGGTTTTCCGTGGGGCTGCTGGTGGTGCCGCTCCTGGGATCGTGGAGCGACCTGGCGGGTCGCCGGCCGGTCCTGGTCATCTCCAGCCTCGGGATGGCCCTGCAGGCGGGGGTCTACCTGCTGGTGATGTACCTCAGGTTGCCCGTGGGCTGCTTCGTGGTGGGCAGGCTGCTCAGCGGCCTGAGCGGGGACTTCAACGCCATCCTGGCCGCTTGCTTTGCCTACGTGGCTGACGTCAGCGACAGGAGGTCCCGCACCTTCAGGGTGGCGGTCTTGGAGGCCTGTATCGGCATCTCGGGGATGCTAGCCAGCGTCATCGGAGGTCAGTGGCGGCGAGCACAAGGGTAAGACGAGCTTTTGTTCCAAGGCCATCTCAGTAGAAAAAAAAATATATGTATTTTTTATTGTTTGTGATGAACTTGTTTTTGTTTTTTTTCTTCAGTTACATCAACCCGTTCTGGTTGGTTCTGGCCACCAACTTGGCCTCGGCTCTCTACGCTTTCCTGTTTGTCCGCGAGTCCGTCCCGCCAGACCCCAGAGCGAAGCTGCTCACCGCTCGCCACCACAAAGCCGTCTGGCACCTCTTCCGGACGGGAGGCGGCAGCAGAGAGGGCGGCGGAGGGCTCCAGAGGGGCAAGCTGTGGCTCTACACGCTGTGCTTCTTTCTGGTGGTGGCCGTGCACTTCGGCAGCCGGGACCTGTTTGTGCTGTACGAGCTGAGCTCGCCGCTGTGCTGGGGGCCGGCCCTGATTGGCTGGGGGTCGGCGGCCCTGCACCTGGCCTACCTGACCAGCCTGCTGGGCCTGAAGATCATGCAGCTCTGCATGGAAGACTCCTGGGTGGCTCTTGTGGGTCTGGCCTCCAACATAAGCGGGCTGGTGGTCTTCTCTGTGGCCTACACCACCCAGCTCATGTTCACAGGTGAGAGGGGGCTGAACGGTATTCATTAAACAACCTCATTCTTTAATGCTAAACCGGATTATAAGAGCAGAAAGCTTGTGAAATAATTGCTTGATTGAGCAGTTATGTTAAATAACAATGGCAAAAACAATTCAGTCCAACAGCTATCGGTTTAGTACACTTGATAGTGGAGTTTAGAGTCTCCTTCTTAATTCTGGGATGTCGGCTAAGGTTTCCCTGCTCTGTCGTGTGGACATCCCAGCAAGTGATAGACCGAGCCAAACACTCATCTCAGTCTCCTGCTTGTCATCGTGTAGAAAGATCCAATTACCTGACGAACGTCTGTCGTGCATTGTGGAAGCCAGTGTGATCTTTCATTAAACATAACAAGCATTGTTCTGCTGGTATTGAAATGACGCAGAATAACGAGGTCCGGGAAAATCTGCTCGTTTTTTCCCTCCAGGTTACGGCCTGTGTTTCCTCTCCATGGCCGCAACTCCCGTGCTCAGGTCGAAGCTGTCCAAGCTGGTGGGCCCGTCAGAGCAAGGTCAGCTCACGTCGACGACCGGAAACTGAGCCACTCCTCCAGCCAAACCGCCACAAAGCCTTTAGCACAAAACAGTCATCCAACACACACTGGAAACGACTGCAAAACTGTAAATGAATGGATGGCCGTTCAGAGACTAGAAACACAAAACGCCGCGCACACACACACACATAGCCTGACACCGTTTGGGAAACAAACAGCATTTTACAAAATGTCTGGGACGGAGAGGTGACAGTTTGAGTCGTTAAGAAATTAGATCAGCAACGCCACAGTTTAGTCTGACACATGGCCTTTGTCACAGAGGACGCTTTATGAGCTGCAGCATGTGTGCTCAGCTGTGTGTGTGTGTGCGTCTTCCCAGGTGCCCTGTTTGCCTCTGTTGCCTGTGTGGAGAGCTTGTGTTTCCTGGTGGGCAGCGGGCTCTTCAACTCCCTCTACCCTGCCACCCTGCACTTCATGAAGGGCTTCCCCTTCCTCGTCGCTTCCTTCATCCTCTTCATCCCCGCTGGGATAATAGGGTGAGTTCGCCCTTTTCTTCATTTCATTTTATTTCCTTTGCTGTTTTTTTTTGTTTTTTTATCTCATCAAACGATCTGTGTTTCTTGCTTGTTTTTCAAGGACTCTGGAATGTTTGGATCAGAGGATAAATCACAGAGACTCCCCTGGATCGTGACCAGAGGAGAAACAGGGGCAGGATCCCATCAGAAGGGGACGTTGGTGGTGGGGCCGCTCAGCTCTGACCGAGAGCCATCCATCATGTCCATGCTGCTGGGAGAAACTGCCATCTTAACACAGATACCACCAGTTGGTGTTGGTTTGCACAGACATTTTTAAAAAAAAAACAAGAGTTTGAGACCAAAATGTAACGAACACCCTCCTCTGTCAAACTGTTTCAAGTTCGCTTTAAAAAGTGGGGACAGCTTTAAGTCATTTCATGCACTTTCTACAATGAGCAAGATGTTCATGCCATTATGTTGAGATTTATTGACAGGACATCATTCGTCCCTAATATTTCTTTTCTAATTTATTCCATTTGGATGTTAGGATATACCATATATTACCCCGCATCATCCATAATGACCCAGAGTTATGCAGGTGTTACAAACAATCAAAACTTAAATAAATTCACCTAAAATGAACAAAGTGAGAAAACTAATGTGAGATAATGCATATATTTGGCATTTAGTGTGGTAAAGAAATATGCCCTGTAGAAAAGAATGGATCTAAGAGCTGGATTCTCTTGTTTGACTCGTAAACATTTCGCTGGATCTAACCAGGTGTGGTCCCTGATCACAAGTCGAAACATCACACCAGTCGTAATTTGCTTCATTCAACACCTTGCACCATATTATTACTTTGTCATGTCTCTAATTCATCAAAAAGGGATAAATGTAACTTACGATATTGGCCCCACCTTATTTCCATCCTGGATCCCCGGCAGGCCCATTGACAGTGGAAACTGGGCTTTTCCTTATAGAATACGGGGGAAAGATAAGATTCCCTCTTGTGAAGGGGCCAGTGGATGGTCAACTTAAACAAGCTGCCAGCCTCATGGCTTAATTTTTGGCTGAGGAAACAACAGCAGCCAATCGGTTTAAAGTTCTAAAAGCAAGCCTCTGGTTTGGTGAACTGTGAATAATTATGCACAAGCATCAGTGTTGATCCCAATGTGGCCAAAACCATTCTTTGCTTGTACTCTGAAACAAATATGACCACCAGAACTGTGTTTTGTGCAATACTAATGTTAGAAAATTATACTGTTTTTCTATTTCTAAATTCATCTCAACTGTATGATGTATTTTTGGAATGTAATGTTTTTAGTTGCTGTATTTTAACTGCTTATTTTTCATGAAACACATTAAGTATATTCAATAACTCCCTGTTGATGAAGGAAACAGTATTAAAGCAGGATCCAATCAAAAAGATAAATTGTTTAGGTATTTCATTTCTATAAATTGCAGTTTGTGCTATTTTGTGCCTTAAAATTTTTGCAGAAATCATGTTAAAATCAGCATAATCTTTTTAAACATAAAACTGATTCTGAAGGCTTTTGGGTTTTTTCCATAAGCAGATGAATTCACATTTTGGCCATCAGATGTTTAAAGTGTGGAGTGATAAAAGATGAAAGTTTTCTTACACTATTTGTCCTTTTATTTTATGAGAGAAAATAAATACTGAATACTGTAAGATTTTGATCGGGTTTTTTTTGTTTTTTGCATTGTTTTTCACATTTTAAATTCTGCTTGAACTGGAAATGGCTCATCTTTTCCTCTGCAGCATGACATCATACTAAGTCCTTTGGTTCTCATGGAAAAAGCCGCAGCATCAGTGAGTTCACGGATTTGCTTCAGTCTATTTATTTTACATAACATGTTAGACAAAAGATAACTGCGTACAGTAACTTTGGTTGAGATTGATTATCTTGTTGATGCTTCAGGAACTGCTATTGATGATCTTGCTGGGTACTGATGACAGCTGGTTGATCACAGTTATTTACCTGAGATACAGACGGTGTATACTGAGTCTGGATACACATATACGGCAATATGTGGGCACTAACAGTAAAGGTTAACAGTTCGTTATTTACAATCTGGGACTCCCTTTTTCAGTGTTTAAAGATTAAATCTATTCATCAAGCGTTGGTGTGAGCATGTAATCTAACCATCATCACTTCACATGCGTTTGGGCAGAGCGAGTAAAGCTGCCGGACACTACTCAGCAGGACGTGTGGCAGCTGGCGTCAGGGTTAGTTTTAATAGCTGTGGTCAAAGTGTGTTCGTGTCACTTCATTTCTTCTTCTGTTCTTTCGAGCCGTCCGGACCGTCACTTAGGTCCTGGTGGCCTTTCAGAAAGCGGAGGATCTTCTCAATTGTGGCCTCCTGATATTCATGAGACCATCTGAGTGAAGAGGTAGCAAAAATGAAAGGATCATGATTCACAGGCTTATTTGACAAATCTGCCAGACACCGAATGCAAACAACAATCTTCCCCATTGTACCATAAAATATTCATGATAGAAATTAGGCTGTGTTAGATCAATAATAACAGAGTCAACACAAACTGTGTAATCATTACACAACAGAAGGAAATAGCCTCATAATTAAAATAAACACATTGTGGCTGCGTTGTCCTTATCCAAATATACCATTTAAATTACAGCTGAATGGAAGATGCTTACTTGATGCCATTGAAGTTCAGAATAGCCCTCATGTCCTCAGGTAGAGACTTGGGGTCAGGCCACATGAAGTTATCCGTGACAGGAACTATGTTTTTCTTCCCAGCCAGGGCTGTGACTATTTCCTGGATGAGAAACCACATTTTTCTCAATTTTCTAAAATGTGTAGGTGTAAAGCCAATAATGACTGGAATTATCTGAGAGTGCTCCTTTTTTTGTCACGATATGAACATCTTCTTTGCCAAACCACCATGTCGGTCAATCATTAAGATGAATATGAGCCAAACAAAAAAAAAAGTAATAATCTAGAATTAAATTAAATAGAAGACATTTTAGAGAAAGCAAGAAGAAAAAAAAGTAACAACATTTTGAAAGAAAAAGGATAACAAAGAAAATAAGCACAAATGAAATTTTTGATTTTTAAATCACACTATAATAATCCAGAAAAAACCTTTATGTATTTTTTCTCTTATTAACTAAATGTTGTTTTTTATCTGACAGCTGGTTTTTCAGCCATAATGTGCAAAGACGGGGACTCCTCTTACCTTATGCACCCAGTCTTTCATGGCAGTGTCCCCCATGCATTTGTCGAGCGCATTGGCGGACAGCACCAGGATGAAGTTGCGGGCTCTTTGGACACTCTGAATGAGCTTGTCCTCAAATTTACCCGCCTCCAGCTTCTCCACATCGATGAAGACGCTGTAGCCTCTTACCTGCAGGTGCACCTTCAGAAGACTGGGAAAAGATTGACGAATGTCACTTCTTTTGTCTGAGGACTGAGAACATATGACTCATTTTAAAAAAGAAGAAGAAGGAAAAACCCTGACCTGGCCAACTGGGAGCCGGTGGTCCGGCGGTAGCTGATGAACACATCAGGTCCTGGAGGCTGGGCGTCTGTGTGGCATGGTTTTAAGGGCTTGTGGCTGGCAGACAGTATCTTTGACCTGTGGACCCCGTTTGCCACGAGGCAGTCGTGCTGGAGCTGCTGGTCGGTCAGGTTCTGGACACTTTTCCGGTCCACTCCTGACTGGACCATGCCGTAGGTGTACTGACGAAACCGAGGGTCCACCTCTGCCAGCCAGTCAGCCATGTTATTTGGGTCGCATGTGGAGTAGTTGGCGTACATTTTCAGCACACGCAAGTCTCTCAGAAACCTGAGCGATGACACAAAACAAAATCAGAGCTCTGCTGCCTCAGACGTGAGCTGTGAGAGCTTCTTGACCACTTGCCTCTTGCGGGTGAGGCCTGCCACCATGCCTAAATCGGAATTCAGATCTTGATCTGTGATGTTTAGCAGGAGGTCTCCATCCACCTGTAGCTCCTAGAAAGTAAGAAATATGGCTGATATTACCATCAGCTAACTGACCTGGAAGAATGGATCAATAGATATTTTCGATCATCCCCCCCAACTGGTTGGGGAGCACTTACCTGGAAACGGTCACAGTAGGCACTAAAGCCGACCTGCTGCAGCCACATCTGCACCTCACAGGTCTTCCAGTTGGGCACACACGACAGGATTCGTTTTGGCACTTCTTCTCCCATCATGCTCAGCGCCCGCTTGGCAAGGGTACAGGCTGTCCCATTACTGGAGTACATGACTATTCTCTTCAGGCTTTGCACCGCACCTATCTCTTGAAATATCTTAAAAGAAGAACAAACCGTGAGTCAGACTTCAACATCTATAGAGGGGACATCTTTGAATTATTTGGCGGGTGGATTGGTGAGGAAACCTTGGTGTTCCGCTGACGAGACTTGATGCTGGCCTCAACGCAAAGATAAAAGGCCGCGATGCATTTTCCCTCCACTCTCGCCCCGTCTAGTAAAGGCAAGAGGTGCTGCAGGTCGGAAGCAGTTCTCCCCTGCATGTTGTCCGAACTGTCCAGTAGACTGCGCGCAAAGTCATCCGGGTCCAGAGATGCGATGAATGGCTCTACCAGCTCCAAGGTTCCGGACTTCACCACCTCCTTCTCGATTTCGCGATTGGCCGCGAGCACGGTCACGGCCAGGCAGGCGTGGAAGCGAATGAGCTCGTCCTCTTTGGAAAACGCCAGGGGGAAAAGCCACTCGGGCGCCTGCTTCTCGATCATCCACCGCTGGCAGCGGTGGCCTCCGTACATGGCGCAGTTGGCCAGGGCCACGGCGCAGTGGCGCAGCACAGTGGGGTCGGTCCCCCGGCACCAGAAGAGGAGGGCGTCCAGGGCGCCGTTGGAGATGAGGTGGACCGACGTCTCCTCGGTGTGTTTGAACATGTGCTCCAGGATGCCGGACACGCTGCGGGCCAGCTGGGCATCGTCCTGCTGTCGGGTGAGGTTGAGGATCACCCCAAGGCCCATGCGTGCTATGTAGTCCCTGCAGACAGAGATCTGTGGTCAATCCAATCCAGCCAGTGTGGGTTGTGTTTGTTCAGACTTCTACAACTACATGTACTTGGTTTTGGTCAAAAGAGCAGTTTGATAATTGCCAAATAAAATCAGCAATAGCTCTTCCCACGGTTTTATCTGCTTCTCAAATGTAAGAGAATCTGAGTATCGCTCTACATAATCTCACTATGAATTGAAAGGCCTGTGGTTTAAGACAACTGCCTGCTTCAGTAAAAGTCATTTCAGGAAGTATTGTTACTTATCACTTTTGAGTTGAGTGTTTTTCAAGAGGCCACACACTTTTCTCCCTGTTTCCCTTCTGTAAGAGTGGCTTCTGGACATGAAACCTTCCTGATGAGGCTGCAGTGAGCAGATCTCTTGAAGGTCCACATACTGGTTGTGTTTCAGGTCTACAGTGGGACTTTGTTTCTGCCAGCTGCTTCTTTTGACCTTTGCTTACTGAGCTTCTACAAATATTTGAAAGACAAACTGTATCCTGACTAACACCATACTAACTATTGTTTGGCTAATAGCCCTCTAATGGCCCTAAATCTCAATAAGGCTGTCCAACTGTGAAATTTTGGAATCGTTTTTAGATCAAATCAAGTAAATGGAAGAAATGTACTCTTTGTGACAGTTTTCTGTTACTCAAAAATAAAAGTTGACAACTTAGGTCAAATAAATTAGGGGCTCCTGACTTGTTTACTGTACTCTTTATGAGCTCTAAATCAATGAAAAGATCCAGGATCAGAAACTTCAAATAAAACCTTCAAATTGGAACCAAAGGTTTTAAGAAAATGTGCTCTGCTTTAAACTACCTGTTCTCTGATATCAGAATCTGCTCCAGCAGTTTTGCAGACTCATAGATGATCTCCACCGCCTGCGTCTGCTGGAGCTGAAGCAGCAGCTCCAGGCCTCCATCGAGACGGATCCTGTTGCAGATCTCCTCGGCCACCTGACGGCCCACTGTGGGCAAAACCCAGGCTTCCTCCACCAGCTGGTAGATCTCCGCGACGGCCCCGCGGGTCTCGTCTGGATCCGAGCTGTCGTTGGCAGACTTCAGCCTCCTGATGGCGGAGCGCAGAGCCGGGAGCGAGGTGTCCAGAGCCGCCTGGACGTCTGCGTTGACGCCCGGGGACACTGCCTTGGGTTCCCCCCCTCCGGAGCCGCTCCTTCCCCTCTGGAGTCGGCTGACATAATCCGGGACGGTGAGTCTGTCCGAACTGAACATGATGGACAGATGTCGATAGATCCTGAACAGGAAGAGCGTCACAAAGAGGAGCATCCACCGGCGGAGGGTCAGCTGATGCGCCCTGGCCTGCAGCACCGGAGGCTGCTTGTTTACAGTTCCGTATTGCAGAGTCCTGCCCGCCCCGTTATCACACCCAGCTCCTGCAGATACACCAGAATACTCCGCTGCAAATCAAAGGCGATGCCTTACGCTAAATTGCATCATCTCTATTTGGTTGTCCTTATACGCAGATTTGGAGCTCAGCGGATGTTTTTCCTCTTGTTTTTTTTTTCTCCACGGATGCTGCTATGTCTTCTTCATCCTGATTAAATCTGAAAGTTGTTTTCCCCTGGACAGAAAGTAAATTCCCGGCAGGAGACTTTACAGTACATTCTTATAGAGAGAAACTATTCCAAAGAATAATAAATAAAAAAAGCTGTCCTCTGTTCATTCATTCACTAAGATTTTGCAAACAAAGGAGTGTGGGTTTCCGTCTACCGTGGCACGTTCCCTGAGACGGATTAGTTTCACACAAATCAGATACTATCCTTCCTTTCCTGTAGCTTTCCTTTGTTCGGGCATCCTACCGGCCGATTGTGGCCTCTTCAGTTCCGAGCATCTCACAAATATTGCCGTTGGATGCACAGAGAAAAAAGGCTCTCAGCTTCCGTTCTCCTCCTCTTTCCTTGCATCACAGCTGGTGAGGAACATGCGCATCAAGGCTGTCTGTGCAGGAGAATGTAAACACCGCAGGCCCTCTGCTGGAGGAACCCAGTCTCAGAAATGTTCAGACCGTTTTTGTCGTTTGTTGTTGGGACTTTAGTGGCTGTAGAATCCACCAATTATAACTGCCCATGAGTCTGTTAATTCCCTCATTGTGCATATACCTGTACATCAATTGGTCCCCAAAACACAGCACTGTGTTGTCAAGTCAGCTTTTAGCTTCCAGCACTGAATGTGTTGCTTGTCTGTTGTTTTTTATTTATTTTTGGCAGCAGTCACATGCTTTGGAGCAGCTGTGAGGCAGTTTTTGAGGTGTTGGCTTGTGCCACACTGTTTGAAGGAGCCTGCACACTTAAGAGCACACAACCCTTATTGGGCCTCCCCTAGGCCTCAGAATGTCACCACACACAACAACCTAAATTTGTGCTTAACACAAACACACACTCATTTGCCTAATTGTGTCACCAGCAGTGAGAGAACCTCAAAGTTGGAAACAGTTAATATCATGGAAATGGGAGAGAATTTGGTCAGAGGTCGATGGATCGGGAGGTATTCAACTTTTTTTTTGGGCTATTGATCTCCCTCTCTTTCTGTGTTTGTTTGCCTGAGTAGAAAGAGGCCTGCAAATGAGATTAAAGCAAACAAGGCAACTGGGGTGACTGACACATGTTTCCAATAACCAGGAGCACACGGTCCATCGTTAGTCACTCAGTCTGACTGTGGACCCGACAGAGGCAACATGAGGCCGTGTGCCGTCCTGCTGCTCGCTCTGCTGGTTGAGACCTTCGCTGCCGAAGGTGAGCATTACATTGAAAATAATCTATTATCTCATGCTTTCCTCTTCGTTTCTCATGTGCCACTAATATTTTACCTGTTTTTGCACTCTAATATGTAACCCTAACCCTAACAGTGCATGTTAAAACTGCCAAGTTTGCTAACAAAACTCATTCATAAAAGCTGTAATTTGTCCAACTAACTAGTAACTCGCAGTGCTCCATAAATTCAGGGAAATCTCTGCTGCTAACACGTTTCCTCACAGCTCATTGTGCTTCAGTGAATTAGAAATTGTTCAGCAATGACCAGTCAATTATCCGATAAGCTCATATTATTTATATTTGAACTCCAGTCTTGTTTGCAGTCATGACAGGATTCCACAAGAGAATATAGGATTATTTTCAGATGATCTATATAACTGTAAAATGTATCTTTGGGATACGTATTGCCAAAGAATTCATGTTTAGATGACTTCATTGGCTATAGAAATCTGTGGTAATTTCATAGAGTTCCTAAACAGAAATCCAAATAGCTGTTTTAAAAGTTCCACTTACATTCTGATGATATGTTAGGCCCATAAATTAATTTAGCTCACTTTAGATTATATTAATCCTCAGTGACTAGAGAAATATTATCTTCTTAATTCTGTCACTTTATTGATGTATGAATTATATTCTGATCTGGGGAAAGATCAGGATTAGAAGATTGCTAAAATCAAATTTAAGCCTCCTTCACTAATATGGATTATAGAAATTCACTAATATTTTAGTGGAAATCACTAATTATGTCTCCGATATATATCACATTGAAGTGTCTAATAACCTGCTTTCACAGGATCTATGATTTTTCTTAAAGTCTCAATTTGATTTGAAACATCTTTTGTCTGTAAAAGTTTATAAATAAAGAGAAAAATGAATCCCAAATTATCTGAACATAATACAAAATTCTCCAAAATTTCTGCTCGTCTTGCAAGCTGTCTGAAAAATCTAAATAAATTCATCTCGAAAACTCTGTAAAGCAATTGATGTTAATGAATGAACTTGTAACAGCTCTGTAACCATCAATTTGATCATCTTACCCCAAAAATGTTTAGTTTGTAATTACATTTCTTAATACCTCATTGCAACTCTATCAATCAAAGCGGGACATTAATTCTCTCAGAATATTGAGAGAATAGCAAAGTAAACTGAATACACCATTCTATCTCAAGAGTCCTGTCTGGGCCGCTGCGAAAATGGCTTTGACTCTCAGAAGAAGTGCCAGTGTGACTCCATGTGCAAGTATTACAAAAGCTGCTGCTCTGACTATGAGCCCGTCTGTGGTATGATGAGTAAGAAACCCCCCGAAATCCTCAGCGCTCCGCACCCCCATGTGAGGGAAGGAAGGATGTTGACGTGGCCTGTTGTGCTCTCTCCAGCTCGAGGAGACACGTTTGTGTTTGCAGAAGATGACGAGGACTCGCGTGAAGGTCCGACGCAACCTTCTGGACGTCCGGGAGGCGCTGAGTCTACCCGGCCAACCGTTTCGGACTTCAATCGCGGACGGCCCCAGCAACGAGGCTCCTCCCTGCAAATGACCAGACCTCCAGTAACAATCGATGAAAGAGTCTCCACTGTTGGCACTGAAGCCTCTAGACTCGCGGACGTCGGCACGACCTCGGCCCCTCAGAATGCCACGACGGCTGAGACCACCACCGCTCCTGTGGCGGTGACCACCACCGAGGCCCCGGACCCGGACGCCGAGGCCTGCAGCGGCCGGCCTTTCGACTCTTTCATGCAGCTCAAAAACGGCTCCATTTACGCCTTCAGAGGTGAGAGGCAAACTGACGCAGCCCAAGTTTTACTGATGTTTTTTAACGTTTGCCCGGCACGGTGCCAACCTTTCGGCCTTTGCCTTTTGCAGGTGATTACTTTTTCGAGCTGGACCAGAAGTCGGTGCTTCCCGGTTACCCGAAGCTCATAAAAGACGTGTGGGGCATCCGAGGACCGATTGACGCTGCGTTCACACGCATGAACTGTCAAGGGAAGACCTACATATTCAAGGTGAGGCTACCTGAAAGCTCAACCACTTAGAAGATTAGGTTGGGCCTCAAATAATGGAATCCTACATGTATGAAAACTGTCACCAGGGAAACAAGTACTGGAGGTTTGATGATGGCGTGCTGGAGGACGACTATCCTCGTGATATCAGCGTGGGCTTTGACAAGATTCCTGATCATGTGGACGCAGCCTTTGCCCTGCCTGCCCCCGGTCACCACGCCAGAGAGAAGGTGTTCTTCTTCAAAGGTGAGGCCTCTCTGTTTTCTCTATTCTGTCTGCATGTTTCCAGCCATGCCTGTGTTATTTAGCGATATTTGACAGTAGTTTTGTTTCACATCGCTGTTTTTTTTGGTTTGTTTGTTTGTTTTTTTTCCAGCTGACCAGTATTACGTTTACGAGTTTTTGCACCAGCCGTCCCATGAGGAGTGTGTGACCATGTCGGAGAGGTCTCCTTCCGCACTGTTCAGGCGCTACACGGATGTTTACTACAACAACTACGAGCGCTTCTTCGGCGAGCTCTTCTCTGCAAGTAGGCTGGGCTCTAGTTGATTTCGTTTGTAGAGGAGGCAGCCTCAAATCTTAACCTTTGTTGTTGTTCTTTTGTTTGTTTTTTCTCCAGTGCCTCAGCATCATGACAAGCACCACTTCATTAACAAAGACTGGAAAGGCCTCAAGTCCCCCGTGGACGCAGCCATGGCCGGCAGACTCTACGTCCCCCCCAGGAGGTCAACGCCTCTCGGCTATGGCCACCAGCCTGACCAGCAGTGGGGTCCACAGCAGTACCAGCAGTACCAGCAGTACCAGCAGAACGGAAGGCCGTGGGGTCAGAGGAGGCGAAACCGCTCGCCCTTCTGGGGCTCCATGGCAGAGCAGGGGATGAACATGGGTCAGGGGTTTGCTGAGAGGGGCATGGAAATGGGTATGAGACTCGCGGAGAGGAGGATGGAAATGGAAGAGAGATTCGGGAGGGACTGGGACAGACGATGGGATCAGGACTGGGACCAGGATAGGCGGAGAGATCGTTACAACCCCAACAACAGAGGCAACTACGACCCCAGGGATGACCGGTTACCCCAGGGGGAAATGCCTGTCCAGAGCGTCTTCTTCTTCAAAGGAGGTAACTCAGCCGGACCAGATCCCAAAACAGACTCGTTTACATACGGAAGGGTCTGAAAATATCACAGTGGAATAAATTATTTTTAGTAGTTCTATCAAGATTTTTTTTAAAACAGCAAATTACATATTCTCATGCAAAAAAACAGTAATCCAAAGTTCTATGGCACACATTTCAGAAAATTAAGTCCCTGAACCTTTGATATAGTTAAATTGGGTGTAAAATAAAAAAAAACTGTAATCTGGTGATCAGCTGAAATATTGAGCATCCAGGAGTTTATATAATTAGAAAAAAAGTAATTAATTTTTGGTTAAATAGCCCATGAGACTTGTTTTCTTATAGGCATGGTATCAGAGCCACATGGGAACTGTAATTCAATCAAATCCATTTTAACTTCATTATCCAAAACGGGAAAATTAATTTGGTCAGAGTTAAAAAGTTGGAGGCTACATCAAGACTGCAAGGTGCAACAAGTTTTTTCCCTTCATTCAAAAGAAAGTCTACCCATTCCTGGTGGTACAGCAATGACTGAATGGTCATACAAGGATCTGGGATCTTAGAATCACAGGGATCACAGGGATCTCAGAACAACCCTTTAGTTTCAGTTAAAACCAACAAAAAGTCATCTCAGTTCATATTTTTACAGAGAGAGAAACAGACGGAGGTTTCAGACTAAGAGATGATGAAGAGGTCAAGCATCTGGAAGAGGCGACAGCTAATTTGATTAGATCCTTCCTGTTTAGACTGTCTCATCACATAAGACTTATTACAGTAACAGGTTTCACATGCCATGCGTTTGTCCACATGACAAAGAAGCAAATGACAAATATCACACAAATTCCTGCTCACACAGGCTTCCTCAGTGTTTCTGTGTAGTGTGTTTTTCTGGGTCCAACACACACGAAAGCAAACAAGGAGACGATTTTGCTTCACACTTAATATGAATTTGAATCTAAGAAAGTTGGCTAAATAAAGTCTACACATAGAAAACGTATTGAATAGCTGCCCTTTTCAATGTGTTTTACAGATAAATACTACAGAGTGGACTTGAGGACCAAGAGAGTTGATCCCGCAGCCCCGCCTTACCCCAGACCCATCGCCAAGTACTGGCTTGGCTGTTCAGGCACCACCGGAGCAGAGAAGTAGTAGTTTAAGAGATTTAATGTATTTCTGTGTTCATTGTGGATAAAAACACAAAGTATGTCAAAAAAACTATGAGTAAAAAGTGTGTCAAACATGTTTGTAACCAGCTGCTGTTTAGCTTCAGCAAACATCAGCGATCAATGGAAGGCAACGCAGCCAAAGTTCAGCCAGCTGACTTTCTGAACGCGAGCTGAGCAACTTTATCGAGCACAGCTACACTGTAAACAGGCTCAGCTTAGAAAAGCCAGCAAAAGAGAACTTCAGCCGTCAGAAAGAAAAAGCTAACTCTGCTTTTCAATCAGTTTGTTTTAATATACAATTCAATTCAATGTCAAAATACTGTCTGTAAAATCATGTATCTACAAAATCTTACTTTTTTCTTGTCATATATACATTGAATGGCAGAATATAAAAAAATGTGATGGAGGCTTTCATCTTAAAACCAGAGTGTACTGCACTCTTAAAGGAACATTTATTCTCGCTTTCTCTCTTCTTGTTATTCATAAAGAAATTTACAACACGGTGACACTACGCCCAGATGTTCTACATAAATGTCATCAAGTAAACCACACTTCTGTAAAACTATGTGGTAAAAGCACCTTGTTTGACCATGGCAGAATAAAGATGCAGTTGTTTTCCTTTCAGACCTGCTGATACAGTTTCTCTGAGATCACGCATGCTGAATCAGAATGTTTTCATAGCAGGGCTCGTCGTTCACCTTCCCCACAGCTCCTTCGTTGGTGATGATCTCGGTGGTGTCTCCCGCCGGTCCCACGGTCAGGTAGCCGCTCTCAGTTGGCCTTGTACTTTCCTCCACGTCCTGTCCGCCAGTCCTCCGGTCTGACCCTGAGTCAGCTCCGGCCGCCTCCGGCACGCTCTTCAAAATGGATGATAGCGGCCGCTTGGGGGTATCATCTGGGCCTGCTTTGTCAGAAAGATTCTGGGAGCTGTGCTTCCTCCTGACAGGCTTAGACATGCCGGGTTCCCCTGTGGGCTGCCCACCTTGCTCCCACACGGTGGCCCTGGCCCCTAACTTCCTCCGGGGTGGCTTGGTGATGCCTTCGGCTGACTTCGGCTTTGACCTGCCAGAATCCTGCTCCCTCTGTCTCTGGAGGCTGCCCAGTCTCCGCAGCATGGCCTGAACGGGCCCCTCTGAGCTGGGCTCTATCTTTGTGACGGGCCTGCCGGCCTTACCCACCGTCACATACACAGTGGTTACCTTGTGTGAGACCCTCGCCTCCGCGTCAGACGTGGTGGAGGCGAGGGTCCCTTTGGGACCAGCTGCGTTGGACATCGTCCTTCTTCGTCCAGACGGCCCGGACCCCTGCGCGGCCGCTCGGGCTGAGGGTCTGTCTACTTCCTGTTCTGCCGCCTCACAATTTGCCTCCTGGTTGTCTGTCACTTGGACGTCCACCCCATCTTCCCTCTCTTCACCTTCGTCTCCCTCCTCTTCCCCACTTCTAGCCGTGGCCCCCTGACTTTGGAGGGTGGACAGCATCAGAACCCCCCAGGGCGACTTTGTTTTGCCGCGTTGGGGGGTGCTGAGGTCCTGCCCAGAGCCCCGCCTCTCCTTGGGGCTGAAGCGGGTGCCCTCCGCAAATGAGACGGAGGGTCGCTTCGACTTGGCGATGCTGGAGGTGCGAGGGATGTTGAACGGGGAAGTGATGTCCTCGTTGCTGAAGCCCGACGGGTCTAAGAACATGTTACACTTTGAGCTCATCTCCTGGAACTCCCCGCCCGCCACCGCTGGGATGTCTGTCAGAGAGGCAGAGAGCGGAGGGCTGAACGGCGTCTGCTGTGGCACTCAGCATCGAAGGAGGGCGGGGGAAAGTCTGTTCAACGGTTCTGCTCCTACCTTCTCTGGGAGGGACGCAGTAAAGGGCCTCTCCTTCCTCCCCGTCGCTGTCAAAGGAGGACCCCTCAGTTACCCAGCCAGAGGACGGAGGCTCAATGAAGCTGTGGTTGAAAGTCAGCTCTGGGTCGTGATGAGACACTGCGTGTGTGAGAGGTACAAAAAGCATGAAATCATATCATAAGCAATGCTGGATCCATTCCATACATGGCTTAGCCAGTACCTAAGCATTTTCTGACTGAATTTAAGAGGGCTATGCGGTCAAGATCCTTTTTCACAGCAATGGGACAAAACCATGACAAAGATAGTAGAGTAAAGGAAGCAAAGTGGTTTTAAAAAGCGTGTTATACATACTGAGGGGATGTACTGACCGGTAACTCGAGGCAGGCCTGAGGACCAGTCAGAGATACAGGGGAGGGCCGCGCCAATGTTTGCAAGGACGCTGTAGACGTGATACTTCATCCTGACCAACAGTCCGCCGTCAGCTACGGTTGCACTGAGAAGAGGAAGGTTCACATGGCCGGATGCTCACAACAAAAATTCATCATTGCTGCAGGCCAGAAGAGCTCACAGCAAAGAAATATGTTCACTCCCAGAGAATACGTAGGTCCCAAACTTCCTGAAGCGTCATATTCGCAGTCGGTGCTCTTTCTTTACGAAATAACAGCATCCGTGATGCAAGCTACTAAGAGGGCTTCAAAAAGACAGCAAAACAACACTGTAGCTGTCTTTCTCAGTGTTTGACCATCCGCTGAGCAGTCACATTAAAAGACAGAATGGACAAGCTGCAAGGAACCTAAAGAAGCTTACAGAAACATGAGCCTAAATAAAGCAAGTTAGGAAGAGTGTGATAAGTGGAACTGCAGGGCATACATTTTACTTTCCTCTTGATTGGAAATGAACATGAATACGAGAGGGTGGCAGACCTGTTTTTGGCATCTGTGGGGCCTCCTCCACAACACAGACAGCAGCACAGCACAGCCAGAAGCAGCAGGAGCAAAGGAACCAGCACACCAGCAAGTACAGCGCCCCGAAAGCCTGGCAGACGCACGTTAAAGATCAGTAATGCACCTCGGGCTCGCCAGCACACAACTGCACGCGAATGCGTGGGTAAGGGGGGGACGTACTGCTGGGGCAGGCGCCGGTGACCGGGTGGCAGCCCACTCCGTCTCCACAGTCGCAGACGGATGAACAGTTGAGTCCAAACTGCAGGGCAGGGCAGCTGCTGTTACAGCTGGAAAATACAGGCGACACATCATAGGCCGTGGCATTAAACAAAGACGGTTGTGTGTGATTCATGGTCTATTTTCGTGCCCAACATTTGAACGAGGGGCAATTTTAAATGGATTACAACAGAGTTTTTTTTTATGAGTTAACCTTATAACTCCAAAGTGAATACAGGTAATGTTCGCTGCTATTCTGAGGCATTTTCCAAATCATGGATTTATAAACAGCCCTTTTTTTAAAGTATGCTTCAATAGATGCATTTAGTCACTGGATACGAAATCATTAATGTGTCATGTTTCTCTCTGAGTTTGAATGTCTGAGCAATCATTTCAGGTCTGTGAAACAGTAGGTATCAAAGAAGCCGAGCAACATAAACATGGCCAATAACTGTTTTCGGGTTTTCTTATTAACAGTGGCTCAACTAACCTCAGACAAAAAGAAAATTTTTAAAGCTTTTTTCAAGTTTTTTCATTTCCACACAAATTTATTATACATTTTAGGGTCAGCCAGCCTCAAGAATAACGCCTATAATGAATCTGTTGCAGTTTTCAGTTTGTCAAATTCCGTAAATAAAGTTTGTGAGTTTAACAGGGCTCCGTTGACTAGCAGTGTGTGTGTGTTTCTGTAAAAACCAGTACGCTATGCGTGAACTAACACTGCCAGCTCACCTCTCTCCCCGAAAGCCCGGCTGGCAGATGCATCTTCCTGTCACGTGGTGGCAGTCACCATGGAAACATGGGCTGCAGAGGAAGCCGCAGCCGTCTCCATACGTCCTGTCAGCGCAGGCCTCCTCACACCTGCACACAGCAGGAACAGGATGGCTGTTAGTCCCTGCTTATTTGTTGCTGTCCCTCAAATAAAGGATTTACTGTGATTCCAGGTGGAAATTACTCTAAAGTCTGTTTTGCAAAACATCCTCACAACTCGTACCTATTTTTAGAAATGTAGTGTACGAGACTAAATTAATCATGAAGACTTAGCTTGAACTCCAAATCAACTAGTTTTGCATCAGCATGACTAATTGTGGATTACAACTGTGGATTCTGAACCCTCTTATTCCCAAATGGGGTCGCGTGGACTGGAGCCTACCCCACTACTCAGTGGGCAAGAGGCGGGGTACACCCTGGAAGGTCCGCCAGTCTATTGCAGGGCCACACAGAGACACACAAGGACGAATAACCACGCACAGTCACACTCACTCCTAAGGGCAATTTGGAAAATCCAATCAACTTAACATGCAGGTTTTTGGACTGTGGGAGGAAGCCGGAGAACCCGGAGAGAACCCTCGCAAACACAGGGAGAACATGCAAACTGGGCCCTGGTTCCCCCGGGGACTCGAACCCAGGACCCTCTGGCTGTGAGGCGATGGTGCTAAACCACCACCGCCCTGATTACATAACCTCTGACAGCTAAAACTATACAGCATGACCTCATGAATTTTTCTAAATATTTTGCCCACTTATAACAGGATATCCTCAAAGATTATTCTGATCACATCAGCTGATATAATTGTTCTGTCTTTTAGTTAAACAGTGCACGCTGTGACTGTATAACCATGTCATGGTTCTTATCGGTTGTGAGACTAGATGGAGGATTTTAAACTTTTTTTTTGCTCATGTTTCCTTTAAACATGCTTGCACACCTGGGCCCGGTCCATCCAGGGTCACAGCCGGAACACGTTCCGGTTTCTGGATCGCAGGCTTCGTCCTTCCTGCACCGTGGACACCTGCTCTTGCATCCTTCACCATAAAAACCCGCCGCACACGCGCGGTCGCAGCGGCTGCTGTTCCAGCCGGGCTGGCAGGCGGCACACGCGCCGTCAGTGGCAGAGCACGGCTGCCTGTCTCTGCAGTGACCACACCTACCAACGGGTGGGGGGGGGATGGTTAGTACAGACGCAACATGAGCTGGAAATAAATCATTGCCCAAATATACGTGTATATTTATCCTTTCCCTCCACGCACACTGACCTCGTTTTGCACCCGTTGCCGTACGTCCCGGCAGGACAGGGCTGGGCGCAGAAGGGGCCCTGGTATCCCGGGTTGCACACGCACTGCCCGGTGGGCTGGTCACACTTGCTGTTTTTGAGGTCGCAGTTGCACGTCTTGTCACAGCTGGGTCCCCACGAGCCTTCCACGCACTCGCACATGCCGGTCCGCTGGTTACACGGAGACTGGCTGCAGATGCAGGTGCCCACACATTTCTGACCCCAGTGACCCCGGCGGCACTGGCAGCGGCCCGTCTGCTGGTCGCAGCCGGCGCCGGAAGCCCCCCCCGAACACTGGCACGGCTTGGAGCAGGTGGCCGTCCACCAGCCCTCGTCGCAGGTGCAGTTGCCGTGGACGGGGTGGCAGTGGCCGTGGCGGGTGCACTTGCAGGCGTACTGGCACAGCGGACCCCAGCGGTTGGAGTTGCACGTGCACTCCCCCGTGGCCGGATGGCAGCGGCCGTTCGGGTAGCAGGGACACACCCGCCGACAGTCGTGAGCCCAGAAGTCATACGGACATCCTGGTGGCAGACAAACATATTATGATTAGCGTTTTTGTTGTTGTTGTTGTCGTTTTTGTCTATCAAAATAATATCTAACCACTGTCGTCCTGGTGTTTTTTTTCATTTATTTGTCAGAAATATACAAACTTGACCAGCTTAGAGTACACAGCGCTGGATTTTTATGTTTCCTCTGTTGTAATTCTTTTGTTATGTGTGAAAAAAAGTAGAATATTACAGCTGTGAGTGAGGTTGTGAAGGGTCTGAATACTCATGTCCTGTTGCAGAATTAGTTTCAGTAGAAAAAAAGATGAGCCTCTAACACATTTAGGTTGGAAAACTTGAAATGGTTATAAAACATAATCTACACTAAAGAATCACAATTATACTGAACAAAAACACTGACACAAATACTCGATTACCCATGTATTAGCGTGTACCTTGATTTGAAATTACCCGCCTCACATTTTTGCTTTTGAAGACTCTACCTCAGTTTTTGAAGAAAACACAAATTTCATATTTGTAATACAAAGAAACAAAAGCAAAATTTTTCTCATCCATACTTCAGGTGTTGTTTATGATTTTGTTTCTATCTGGACAAAGATCTATGCTCAATATGTCCATTAAGTCAAAAAGCCACATGTTATATCCGTAAACATTTTTGTTCAATACAGCTTCTCTTTCATTCTGTGTTAAAGAATTGTTTATCAGAATCTGACAGAATTATTTCATTCAACAGAATTATATGAATGATATTTTTTATATAAAATCATAGATATATTAAAAAACACACATATATATATATATGTATATATACATAAATATACACAATGTAGTGATGATATTACTTCCTACTCTGCCTCTGGTTTCATTTAAGACAGTCCATTCACGTCCATTAAATACTTCTGTTCCACAGTAATCGCTTAACTGATGATAAAGGGGGAGAATTGTTCATAATAACTCACGGGTTTTACACTGTGCTCCGTAGAAGCCAGGTGGACAGCGACACACTCCAGGAAACAGACACACTTCGTTCTTTAGACAGGCCTGCTCACCTTCACAGATAGCTACACACAAATACACAAACCAAACATGTGAAAGAGAAAAGCACGGAGCCAAACACGGACGCCGTGAGGGCGTCGTTCCTCCAGGCCGTCGACCGTCATTCTGCAAGAACTCACGTATGGTGCACTCCTTTCCCTGTTGGTGCCATCCAGGGCAACAGACCAATGAGGAGGGGCTCCTGAATATTAATGACACAGTTAAGAGGAGCCTGACAAATAGGGAAACTTTCAAATGAGGATGTCAGGCTATTTCTAAACTATTGAGCCCAACACTCCAAACGTAGACAAAACCTCACTGCATTTCTGGACATTTCTGTCCCGGTTTTGACAAACCAGGCCAGGAGTGCCATGGATCTTGGGTCGGTAAAATATGAAGGACTCAGATGGCTGCTGCTGGTGATTTAAGGGAAGCGTACCTCATATCCTTGCAGACGTTCTTCCCACCGGGATCCAGAGTTTGTGCAGAGGACAGCGAGCAGCAGAGCAGAGCGCCCAGAGCTCTGAGAAACTTCATCTCAAAGCGAAGTCCGAAACCAAAACCTGAAACCAAAATATGCCTCTGTCCTAAAAGTTTGGCCTTCTTTCCTCTCTCAGCCTGTGCTGCTTCCAGAGGGGAGCACAATGAGACGCTGGATCTGTCTTTTCTGCCCACCCTCCACCCTCCCTTTCTCTCCGGTGAGTCGTCTTGCGGCTCCAGTGCAGCCACAGAGGTCGATGCCTCGGGGTTTCCTCTCCCCTTTTCCTGGGGAAGTCAGAGCCACTTCCTCCCATTCAGCCAGACACAGAGCTTTATAAAGATGGCCTCAGAGTAACACACAAAACTCGCCGCACACACGAGCAGGGCACGGACAAACCCTACACACACCCCTGGTGTGCACCCTTTTGCCAGAATCCATTGTTGACAGTCTTACAGGAGATGATGAAGAAAGCCTTCGTCATTACTTAGAATCTGTAAAAGTCAGAACATGAGATCACTAAAAATTAAGGTTCATGTAAGAGTCTCAATATGAGTAAAGAAAATGGCAATGATTCAATTTATTTCAGTAAATATTCTGCATTTATTGTTTTTATTGTAATCTCAACATCAGACAAAATACATTTTTTCACGTTCAGTTCAGGGTCATCATCCAAAATGTTAAAAGTATTCTTACAAAAATAAATTGAAAAATAAGGAAAGCTCTTTCAAAGTTTATTCATTGTCCCTCAATAGCATGTACCACTGGCCAGTCTGAGGAGTGCTGTGATGGGAAATTTAGGGGGGGGCTCCAGCACAATAAGCCTGTTGACCGCATGCAAAAGGTAGGAAGAGATGTGGTAGGAAAAAAACTAAAGAAGAAAGAACATCTAAAATGTTTCTTAATCATTTCTTATCCATCTCACAATTCCACCAAAAGGCAAACATTCAGTTTCATCTGCATAGTCTGGTTTTGTAGCCAAATACACACGTTTGGCACTTTGGCAACACCATCAAACACACACTGGCCACATTATTTAGCTCTGTCCACTTAACAAACAACAAACACACTTCTAACGGGTAACGGTCCTGGTATGAACTGGTACCCAGCTTTACTTTGTCCTCGTGCATAGAATAATTCATACTGTGGGAGCTACATCAGCAAACACCTGGCTTTCATAACATGGTCATTCCTGAAAGAGACCATGTCTCCACCTGTTAGAAAACTAGCAACTGCCCTCTTGTGGAACAAAGATGAACTTCATTTTAACACAGAACAGCTGGAACACCCAGTCAAGTGTTCTCTGCCTCAAACTGTTGTTTTTATCTCTACTCATTTGTTTCAGAATAGGAATCTAGATGAAGGACACATGTTACAAGTCAAAGCCTCCTTTACAGAAGGGTCAGATTTATGGTTTAGGGCTTCAAAAAGGCTGCTAAGAAATGCAGAATATCTATAAATCTGCTCTTTGGGAAATTGAAATACTTATTGAACAGATTTCTGTTTAGTTTGGCACTTTTCATCTGGACTTTCAGGCTTTAACACTGTAAAATGTTGGAACTGCTGTTTTGTCTAAGCCCACTGGCTAAAGTGTTCTTTAGCTTTAGAACGAACCTTTGCGGGTATTTTTGCTATTCTGTGCTCCGAGTCTTATAAATCTAGCAGGTGCTGCCTGTGAAAATAGCTTCCAACATAAGAAAGTTTAATCTATATTTCAAAATGTTGCCTTATATAGATTCATTCACCTGAAAAAAGGAGGAGAGAAACTTTTGAGGAGGAATTTGAAGGAAGCGATTGAACATTTATCTTTGGTTTTTTTCTAAAAGCTTGAGGATGTATATAAATATATGTGTTTAAAACCATTTGTCTAAACCTATATGAAAATTAAAACTTCTATGCTAAATAAGAGCAACATGATTTGGTGTTAATCTTACAAAGAATCCACGACACTGTAATACACCGTAGGATTTACACAGCAGTGGAGGACGGCTCCTCGGGGTGACATTAGAGCTAACTCTGATTCTTCCTCATGCAGTTTGCGTTCACATGCTCCAGTCATTATTTCCCCGAACCACAAACAGCTGTTCCGGTCCAGGCATTTGAGACGGGCCTCGGAGACTGACCACTGAGATCCCACACGGCTCACGGGGGCGGCTGCTGCTCCTCCTCCTCCTCCCTGTGCTCGGCGTCTCCGATGATTTCCCAGCCGGAGGCGGAGCTGCTCATGTGGGTGGGGCTCCTGAAGCTCCCCGACCGCGTCAGGAAGCCAAAGCTGCGGCCGACAGAGTGGAAGACACAACCCTGGGGTCAGACGCCTAGTTACTGGGGGATTACGGCTAAATATAGAACAGCGACAGAGACTATCCCGGGACAGAGGAGGGAGAGCGCCTGGCTATCTCTCTCTGCCCTCCGTTTCTAAACGGGGGCTGCCTTTGGGCCTCCCGTGCTGCAGGTCCTGGCTTAATAAACAGAAGGTGACCTGGGAAAAAAAGTGCGTTTTTCTTCTCGTTCTCTTACGCGGCCACAAAACATAAGCGGGGAGGGCTAAAATCTAAATACCAAGCAGAGCAGGAGCGGAGAGAGGAGCAGGGGGACTCACAGGTTTCGTATCCGGGACTCGGCCGGCTGGTCGGGCCCGTCCACCTCTGTGGCGTCCACCTCTGTCCGCCCCGACAGAGAAGCCCTGTCGTCCTCATCACTGGGGAAAATGTGCATGTGGGTGTATATTTGCATTATCGGCCTTTGTTGACATTTTTTCTCTAGATGCAGATAATGTTGATGCGTTTGAGCACTGGCCACTGGGAGCCTCGGACAGACCTGCTGCTGCAGTCATTGACAGCGATGCCGAGCATCTTGGCCTTAATGAGCCTCCTTCTCTTTTTGATAGCAGAGCGGACCGCTTCTAGAAGGAAACCTGGACATCGTTCCTCGTTCAGAATCTCCCTGCGGGAACATGGCACACATAATTTGCATTTACATGCATCTGAGGCAGGACGACCCTCAACACACCCAGAATCTGAGCACACACACCCCCCCCCCCCCCACACACACACACACACTGGTCTCACCTCTGATAGTAGTTAAGCTCCTCTTGCACAAGGAAGAGATTCGTTTTCAGCTCATTCCTCTCAAAAAGGATGTCGCGCACTTCCTTCTTGGTGAAGCACGGCTGATCGGGATCCTTCTGGGTGGTGGCCGACTTTTTGGCCGACTCTTTCGCCGTCTGACTCGGACTGGTCTGAAGGGAGAAGAGATCAGGCTCGTCTAAACCAAAAGAGCGACACTCATCGTGAAGCAGGGTCTCCACAGAACGGGTCACCGATACATTATCCTGAAAAGTATCCATGAAAAGAAAGGCTGCATGCAGTAAACGAGGTACTGTTTGTACGTACGGGGCTGTTGCTGCCGCCATTGTCCAGCTGTGCCAGCAGCTTTTCTATCTCTTTGCTTTTCTCCTTGAGGTCGGCCTCCATGTCGGCCTTCCTCTCCACGGTGCTCTTCAGCTGCGCCTCCAGCACCTTCTGCTTGTGCCGCAGCTCTGCGTTCATCTTCATGAAGCGCTCCAGCTGTTCCTGGAGCTGCAAAAATAAAAAACAACCCGACACCACCGTCATCAACCATCAGGGCAAAACGAAAGCCGATGGTTGGGGTTTCTCCAAGAGCAGTCACGAGAAAGTTAAAAAAAATCTAAACAAAGGGGCAAATATAAATATAAAGCAACTATAAAGAACAATGCACAGTCAACAAAATGCCTTCCTCTCGTCAGCTGAGGGTGTTTTTGGCTCAGACCGGCTAAATAAGGGGCATAAAGCTAAGCATTAACAAACACACCCAGCTTTGGCTGCTGTTTAGAAATCATGTGACACACGAGCCCTGACACAAACTCATGAAAACAATCATCCCAGATCACTCACGTGCACACAGAGTCTGTGGGGGTGAAAACAGTGGCCCTGACCGGAATCTTAAACTGGTAACTATGTGCATCATCCCTCCCTTCTCTCCCAGATAGCTGCCACCCTCCCTGTGTCTCCACAAAACAACTCAGCATAGGAAAACCTTATTTGTGCCTTAATGCAGTCTCTATCTCTGTCTTCTTTTCTCTCTCCCCAGTCACATTTGGCATTAGAATGTATATAACACACTAATAATAAATAAATATTCAAGGGTTGGGTAGCAAGGAAGGCTTTAGAAATATATGGCCTCCCTTCCTAACATGGGGCAGCAGCCTAGGAAAACCTTCTTTAATATATTCAGGCCTTTACTCTCTGATGTGCTACCAAACCTGCGAGCAGGCCTGTAAATGAGGGCAGATGTTTGCGTCTCCTCACCGCCTCCGCCTCTTTGGACACGTTGGCGATCTCCTGGACTTTGGC